CTATAGTAGTAGTAGTAGTGTAGTGTGTGTGTGTGTGTGTGTGTGTGTGTGTTTGTGTGTGTGTGTGTGTGTGTGTAGTGTGTGTGTGTGTGTGTGTGTGTGTGTGTGTGTGTGTGTGTGTGTGTGTGTGTGTGTACTATATGTGCCTCATTGAAATAGGTGGGGATACACTGTCTTTCATAGACACTAGTTTGTATTGTCTATGTTGTCTCTGAAATCAGCTGCCAATCATTCAACCCCTCTCCTCTCTAACTCTTTGCCTGATGTAAGTAACTGTGTTGATCGTGTACTTCTTTCAGTAAATTGTGTACTGTATGTCCGAGGGAAAAAACTAATTGCACACTGATTGAAAATTGAATTGTCGAGTGTGTTTTGATTACATTTACGAGAAGGAAAAAAAAAAAAGAAACAAAGCATCCAAGGCTAATTTGTCACGGCCTACAGATCATGACAAATGTAGATCCCCTTAGAGAAAGACAACAGGGAGGAGGTGTTGTGAGAGAAAAAGCGCCAGGGATTTTGCACTTCCTGTGTAAACCGATACAGACTTATAAAGCCATGTCTGTCACCGCTACTACTGTAACCTCAGCAAAACAACAGTGCAACACCTCACTACAGCTACTTGTATTGCTATTGTTGCCATTTCTCTCTCATTCTATCACACACACACTTTTACAGAGGTGTTTGTGTGTGCTTCAGGGTAGGGACTTAGATTCTCTCTCTTTACCTTTGGTCTATGCAAGTGCTGTGAGACTCACCGTAGTGCTTGATCGGGTATACAGGAGATGACACATCCCGCATCAAACCTGCAAGTATTCTGCGTGGTATGTCAGCAGGGGGATTATCGACCAGCTTGTATAAGTAGATATGGTATTGATCCATTGGTCTCGAGGCCCCATAATTCTCTCTTTCCCAGCCTCTCTCTCTCTCTGTGCTTGTGTCTACCCTATTTAGCCCTTGTGTTACTGCCTGGTGATGGATTACAAAACCCATAGTGGAACAAGCACATTCCGTTATTCTCTTCCTCCCTCTGTTTGCCACCCCCTCTCTTTCTGTTTCTGTCTGTCTGATTACTTTCTGATTACTCATTCTCTCCTCCAGCAATCCTTACCTTTCCCCCTGCTCCCACTTACTTGTCCTATTCTCGCTCTAATTTCTCACCAGCCCAACCTTCCAGTTTCCTCCGCTATCTCTCATCCCTCCATCTTGCCCTCTTTCTTTCTTTCTGTGTATGACACCCTCCTTCCGTCCTCTCTATTCTCTCTCGCTGTCTTCTCGTGTTAGTGCAGTTCGGAATGGAAATGGGGAAACATGTTTGCATGCTTATATTAACATGAATGATGTCAACTTGATGCAATGAAAAATTATATAAGTAATGCTTTAAGCAAAATCTGACAATGAACTTGATACTAATACTACTAATGACGACTTAATGGAGACCTAGCAATTGTTTATCTGTGGTCAAAAACAACGATGATGAAATAACATTGTTTATGCTGTATTTATCTCTAATTGGTATTCTTTTTATTTTTCAATTGTTTTTTTATATTTAATTTATTCAAGAAGTTTACTTTTGTATTGGTTAAAGCTGAGAATTTGAGTGAGGGGTTCAGTCAAGGCGATTGTTTCAGTCGGGACTGCTGTACCAGGTCGCAGGATATCGGTGAATGTGTAAGTAACAGTGTGGCTGAAGCAATGATAATGGAAATAAAGGATATGTATCATCCAGCTTTGTGTTTCTGAGTTCTTTTAATCCACTGGCTTGGGAGGCAGGAGAAGGTCACACATCCCATGCAGTGTGATATATTTAAGCAATAGCTCACGACAGGCCGCGGTATATGCTCATTATATCACAGCTAAGGGGCGTGGTTCGGCCTGACGCGAAGCGGAGGGTCGACAAATTCAACCCAACTGTATACTGTTTGCCTCAGGCGCGGAGGGATACTGACATGTTGTGAAAAGTAATTTACAATTCTACCCGTGGTATACGCTCAGTATATCACGGCTAAGAACCAATCAGATTGCTTGTTTTGACTTGTCCGTTTTATAAATATATATATATATCACACTGCATGGGATATATATATATATATATATATATATATGCTAGGCCCATGGGCATTTCCGATGTACAGTCTATATTTGACTCAGGCATGGGAGGTAATACATTCTACCTGGACAGAAGCAGCCTGAACTCAACTTTTTTTTATCACTAAGCTTTCTGACTTTCTACTGTGCATTAAGTCGTGTGTAATTATTCAGCCACTTTGTCATGAATTCTTTATAATAGCCGTATTTTGCCTAAATGCAAAATGGAGCACGGCTGCCTGCCCCGTGTGCTTAGCTCCATCTGGCCTCACTGCTTCTATTTGTCCCCCTTTTTATTTTTAAAACGTCATGTTATTTGTCATGTGGTTATTATCTCTTGTTAATGCGAAAAAGCACACCAGTAGCAATCTGCAACTTCAGCGCTTCAGCAGAGGAGGAAGACTGAGCAGGGGAATGGAAGAGAGGGAGGAGTAGGAGAGGATTAAACAGATGAAGGAGGATGAAGAGCGGGAGATGCTAGAGTGGAGGAGGAGGACGCAAATGGGAAAACCTGGACAAGAGAGTGAAGCTGCATGCGGTGTGTGTATGAGTAGAAGTTGAGACAGCCAGGATGTAGAGGAGGATAGTTCTGTATAGACGCACTCATCATGGGGCACCTGCAGCACATTGACAGTGTTGTTGACGGTTCACGAAGAGTGAGACACACAAACACACACACACACACACACACTCCCTAATACACACACACACGCATTGCGATGTATCATCATATCTCTCACACACACACACAAACACTCACACACACTCACACACATCCCTGNTAGAGGAGGATAGTTCTGTATAGACGCACTCATCATGGGGCACCTGCAGCACATTGACAGTGTTGTTGACGGTTCACGAAGAGTGAGACACACAAACACACACACACACACACACACACACACACACACACACACACACACACACACACACACACACACACACACACACACACACACACACACACACACACGTGCACATACACACGTGACAACGCACCAATTAGTACAGCTTTAATGCTGTAGTGTAGACTGTTGAGAGAGAGAGAAAGGTGGAAAGAGGGATGGGATGGGGGGCTGCTGTCTCTATGGCAACGTTCCCACCGTGCAAAAAAAAAAATCATTTAGTCGGAAAGACATTTCACTCAGTTCAGTGAGCTGAAAGAGGCAGAGAGGGAGGGGGAGCAAGTTAGAGACTGGGGGAGGTGTGTGCATTATAGAGCTGTTTGTACTGGAGGGATTTATTTAAAGTAAGCTGACAGAAGGGCATTAGCTCTTATTGCTAATATAGTGTTTCTGATTATTATCCATAATGATAATGATTTCCACTGCATTACAAAAGACAATAGCTTTTGGTGATACTTTAGTATAACAATTATCTTCCATCTGCATGTAGGCCATATTTATGCATGATGATAGCTTACCTTTCGTGACTCTTGAGAAACTTTTGTTTTCCCATCATCATCATCATCATCATCATCTTGAAAGTGCTGCGCACAGACACGCCAACCTTTTTAAAAAAACACTTACAATGCCACGTAGGCCTATACAGTTTTAAACTTTTTATTTCGAGACTATAAATAATAACCAAAACCTTTCAAAATAATTAATTCAATGAATTCATGCAAGTGGAAACCTCAAGGAGTAGGATTATTAAAGTAGCTTGCCTCTGCAGGGGAACGGTGTTTTAATACAGGAGCTGGGCCCCATCTGACCTTTGCTATAAATTACTTTCATGAAAGGACTAAATGATATTCACTTCACAAAAAGAAACTTTTGTGAAACATCATTTGACATTATATGCACTCATGGCCTGGAATAAGTACAGCTACAGGGGAATTTATCAATGTGGATTTATTTACAAAATACACAGCACCGGTGCCAGACTCGATAGAAAAGGCCCGAGAGACGGCCAGGGGAGGGGATACTATCACAGCGTCCCAAATGCTCTGGGTAGTTCTGGTAACCCATTTGTGAGGATGTCAGTGCATCAGCATGCTGGCTGTGATTACCTGTTGTGAGCAGACCATCTGGCCCTCAGCGTCCCAGCTGGGTACCGCGGTCAGGAGACGAATTGTCATACCTCGCCACCTGGACCCCGCAGACATGGAGCTCAGAGGCACGACCATATTTCTCATTCATATTTTATTATGTAATTCTCTGACCAAACAAAAACAAAATAGAAAAAAAAAGTGAAAACATGGTTTGGTTTTCCAAAAGGTGCTCCTGCAGAGCAGGTTTTCTGTAATTGCTTGGCAACTGCTGGCTATTTTGTGTGTTGAAGTTCAAAGGAGTGAGACACACAGTATATCCTTCAGAGAAGCAGAAAGCCAGAGTTGCAAAGTGAAAGGGTGCCTACTACGCATGCACAGTCACACACACACAAACACACATAAATGTCTGTTTAATTTAGCCATGTAGCTCAGTGAGAATAAAAAAAACATTTTCCAACCGGGGGAAGCCTTGGGCAGAACTTCTCTTAGGTCGTTGGAAGCATTCCTGCTTAGTGATGCCCGAATGTAAAAGCTGCTTGAGCACACAGCTTGTTGCCAGTTGTTACTGAGTGAGGTTTTGAGTTTGATGAGCTCTGAAGCCTTTTGTTGAGCGCTGTGCTGAGCTGAAGGGCCACAGGGGACTAGAGGTTGTTGTTGAACCCAGAAACAGTGCACCGATGTTACGACTACAGGTTAGACGTGGTGCATTTTGCTGATCTATGTGATCTCTGTTCTGTATGACTGATTGTCCTAAATGTTTTATGTTTATTATCTCGATGCCCAAGACAAATTTCACCTAAGGGAGTGTGAAGCTGACCGTTGAGCGGCCCAGACCAAGCAAGGAGGCAGAGGCAGAA